TCTTTCTCTCTCTCTCTCTCTATCTCTCACTATCTTTCTCTCTCTCTTTCTTTCTCTATACTCTCTCTCTTCTCTCTCTCTCTCTCTCTCTCTCTCTTTCTCTCTCTCTCCTCCTCTCTCTACTCTCTCTCTTTCTCTCTCTCTCTTCTCTCTCCTCTCTCTACTCTCTCTCTCTTCTCTCTCTCTCTCTTCTCTCTCTCTCTCTCTCTCTCTCTCTCCCTCTTTCTCTTTCTCTCCCTCTCCCAACCCCCTCTCTCTCTTTCTTTCCTCTCCTTTGCGTCACATTCTTCCCGGCCGTCACTCACCCGCCGTCTGCCACGCCTCCATCACCGCATCCGACACGACTATCGACGCATCCGCATCGACCGGATCGGACGCATTCCGGATCGGCTGAATGTCGGATTCGGCGAGGGGCCGTCCGACCGGTGCCGTCACGGCAAATCCGAGAATGGTTTCGCGTTTCAGGTCCCAGATGTGCAGGGCGTAGCTTGCGCCTGTTGCCGTCACCGACGTGCGACTGTCCGGTACTGTGACGTTGTTGACGTAGTTTCCCAGCGTGAAGGTCATCCTGAAGGACGAGGAAGCGTTGACGAAAAGGTTCGTTGTTTGTTTGTTTGTTGGTTTGTTTGTTTGTGTGCGTGGTGGTTGGTTCGTTCGTTCGTTGGTTCGTTTGTACATTGATTATTTCTTTCTTTCGTTCTTTCTTTAATTAATTTATTCATTCACACACACAGACACACACACACACACGTACACACAGACACACACACGTAAACACGCACACACACATACACACACACGCACACACATGATCGCTGCTAGCGCATGCCCGCTAGGGTTCCATAACGTAAACTGGCGACTCTAGCGCCTGTCAGATGCATAGACACTATTAGATAGTGAAATCTTTACGGAGAAACGGAAACTGCTTCGAAGTTCGCTTTCTCGTACGGAATCTGTGCCGGTATTGAGTGATGTCACGCTGGTGGAATTTCTATCGGCGCATTGCTGCGGCCATGATAGCACCTACAGTAATAGCATGACGTCATGCTCGCGGATGACGTCCTGCTCGCGGATGACGTCACGCTCGCGGATGACGTCATGCTCGTGAATGACGTCACGCTCGCGGATGACGTTATGCTCGTGAATGATGTCACGCTCGCGGATGACGTCATTCTCGCTGACGATCACGATGCTAATGTACGTCATTAACGATGTTCTTCGTGCGTGCGCGCGCACGCCGGAAACAACAACAACAGGCGTTCGTTGACGTGGCTGTGAGCTTCAGTAACACACTAGAGTTGGACGAATCCATCCTGACTGCGAGCAATGTACTGACGCAAAGTGTCAATAGGTGGGTATTGCAACGTGACGTTATATATATATATATATATATAATATTATATATATATACACCTACCTCGCCCGTCGACTGACACTCTCCCGCCTCGTAGCAGTCACTACCGAGGGCAGCACCTACAAACAAATATGGCCGTCATAATATAAATGTAATAATAAGTAATGATAATGATGATAATATATATATATATATATTTATTTATTTATTCATGTATTTATTTATTTATTTATTTATATATATCGTAAGTACGTTCACGTGGAAAGAGCTGTGATTTGGAATAGCATCGGATATCAGCAAAACATTGATGAGCAATCGATAGATCGATTTGGGATCGGTTCGACGTTAATGATACTGGCTGCGACGTTGACGATACTGAGTGCGACGTTAATGATACTGATTGCAAATTAACGTCGCACTCAGTATCGTCAACGTCGCAGTCAGTATCATTAACGTCGCACTCAGTATCGTCAACGAGTCAGTATCGTGCCAATCACGTGCTCATCACGTGCACATCACCTTGTTACAGACGACGAAAGAGGAGGAGTTTGACGTCGATGCGGCTGCGGCGAGTCTGAGCGGACTGACGGAGGACACGGACGAACTGACTGCCATCAGTATAAGCTACATTGCCGACGTCATCGACAACATAGGTGAGCCGACGTAGATAGTATCATTAACGTCGCAGTCAGTATCGTCAACGTCGCACTCAGTATCGTCAACGTCGTAGTCAGTATCGTCAACGTCGCACTCAGTATCGTCAACGTCGCCGCAACAGCTAGCCGCCCTCGCTCAGGTAGGTTAGAGGCATCTGTACGTTACGCACGCACGCACACACGCACACACACACACACCCACCAGACAGACAAACAGACAGACATACAGACAGTCACGCGCGCAAGCGCACTGCACGTATTTCGTGCTCATTATATATGCTCATGAAGTGATCATCACGTGCCAATCACGTGTCAATCACGTGTCAACCACGTGCCGATCACTGTGCGTGCGTGTGCTTGCGTGCGTGCGTGCGTAACGTACAGATGCCTCTAACCTGAGCGAGGGCGGCTAGCTGCCGCGTGGTGTTGGACACGGGTCCACACGAGTCGGTGCTGACGATCTCTCCCCAGTACGCTCCAACCGTGTAGTTACCGAGGCAGCGACGGAAGGCCGACGTTCCATCCTCTAAACAAAGAAAAACACGCGTCTAAAGCCCGGCGCACACGTGAGTAATTTTATTCAAGTAAAATGATGCATGCGTCAAAATACTCAACGTAAATTCGCCGCACAAGTGAGTATTTTG